CTCAGCCGGCGTGGCTCAGTGGTTGAGTGTCGACCTATGAACCAGGAGGTCATGGTTTGATCCCTGGTCAGGGCACATGCCTGGGTTGCGGGCTCGATCCCAGTGTGGAGCGTGCAGGAGGCAGGCAATCAGTGATTCTCTCTCATCATTGATGTTCCGATCTCTCTCTCTCTCCCTTCCTCTCTGAAACCAATAACCATATCTTTTAGAAAAGTTGTTAAAACAGTTGCTAACATTTCAGTAATCAGGAGTTTTCACAAACACACAGAGGGAAGCTGGCCATCTGGTTTCTCTGAGGAAATCGGAAGCTCTGATTGCAAGGCCTCCCTCGTGTCTGGAGAGCTGCCCTCAGCTTGAGGTCCTGGCCCCTCCACTCTGCTGTGGTCTCTGTGCCCCCGCTGTCTCCCCAGACTCAGTGCCGTGTGCTGTGAGATAATGGCTGCCCTGGCTTTCCTGTCCCAGCCCACTTCAATTATTGCTGTTAGTACCTGGGCCCGTACGTAATCATGATTTCACCAATTAAGAAGAACTTCCCCATAAGTATGTTACTTGTTCTTTACAATAACCCCCTTGAATGGGTAGGACAGGTGGTATTTAGACAGAAGAGAAAGGACTGTGACTCGGAGATGCTACATGACTTGCCTGAGGTGATGGGGCTGGTGAGCAGGAGGGTCCACGCTCAGAACCAGGTTTTCTGAGGCTCACGTCGCTGCTACTTCCTTCCCCTGGCGGACTTGCCATTGGTAAGGGTGATGTCCAGAGGTCTCCAGACTCTGAAGAGGAACTGCTTTTAATTCTCCTGAAGCCTCGATTGAGGTCCACTGGGAGAGTGCGAGGGAGGCGGAGAGGGGCAGGGAGTACTGTCCCGTGAGTGGAGAGGTGGGCTGGCTGATGGCACCCCTGCGCTCACTGCCAAGCTCAGCCAGTCCTGCAGGGTCGGCATGACCATGGCTTATCATGGTCTCTCTAGTCGGTGTTGACCAGACGTTTGCGTTTCACAGACCTGTACATTTAAAACAAAAACGTGGAGATATCTATAGGGTTGTCGTATATAAACATCTGTAGCCAAAACAAACATTGTCACCCGTTTCTTACTATCATTTCATAAAAGAACATAGTAACACTAAAAAAAATACAGCTTTATAAATCAAATAGATTTAACTTAATTCTACTTTTCTTTTTTCTTCTTCTCATCTTATCTTGGACTACTAAAAACATCACCAGACCGATACCAGCTGTTTGGACCAGCTTTTCAGGAATCCTGATTTAAGTCATATTTTCTCTTCTGAGTGAAGTGAAATCATTCAGTCCAGGGAAAGACATCCTAGAAATGAATGTGGATGCTGTGTGTTTCCCAGTCTCTATCAAAACATGATTTGGGGACCTGGGGAGCCCGCTGACTCCAAAGTCAAAATTATATTATCATATAATTTAAAACTGGTTCCTCTCCGACACTTGTTGAGGCCAATAGTCAATATTAAGCCTATTCTCTCAGTTGCTTAGAGCAGAATCCGGTCAGTTTGGGGAATACTAGTACATTAGTCCTACTTGTTTGTCAAGTTTAGTCCCTAGACCAGGGTGGGCAAACTTTTTGACTCGAGGGCCACAATGGGTTCTTAAACTGGACCGGAGGGCCGGAACAAAAGCATGGACCGAGTGTTTGTGTGAACTAATATAAATTCAAAGTAAACATCATTACATAAAAGGGTACGGTCTTTTTTTTTTTTTAGTTTCATTCATTTCAAACTGGCCGGATCGGGCCCGCGGGCCGTAGTTTGCCCACGGCTGCCCTAGACCATTCGGAAACAATTTAACAGCTTAATTGGGAGTCTCAAGAGAGTATGAAAAGTGATTTTTCTACCGCCTAAACCACCTCTTCTGTTTTTGATTTCACATTTTGTTTGAAGTTATACTTATATCCAGCATTAGTTCTCAGTGACATATCAGCTTTACTGAATGATGAGAAATATCATAAAGATTGCCATTGTTATTAACATTACGTATCCTGGTGAGTACCAGAAAAAAAAGGAGTGTGCACGGGGGGTTGTCAGAATCTCAGTGCGTCCTTCAAGCAAAATTTAGCAGCTTGCTAAGTTCTTAGAGGAGTCCCCATAAGTGTCACCTGATTTACCAAGACCCCCTTTCCCCTCCTCCCCTTGTTCCCCCAGGGAGAGTGGTCTTTCTCTAGAGCTCACTGGAGGGAGGCTATGTTCAAAGGTTAATGTGTCCTTTGGCCTCCTATCAAGGTGTCCAAACCTGAGCTCCCGATATCCCTGCCCCGACTCCTGTTAACTGTTCCTCTTGCAGGCTTTCCCCTCGGGCATACTGGCACCTCCATCCATCCAGGTGTGCAGGCTAAACTCCTTTCACATTCTACACCCAGCCCATCAGCAAATCCTGCCAGTTTCCCCTTCAAAGTACATCCACTCGTCACCACCTCCACTGCTACCACCGGGTCCAAGCCAGTCTTGCCCCTGAATTGTTGCAGTACTGGTCTCTCCCCTCAGTCTGCTCTTAAATTGCAGGCCAGTAGTTTTATTGCTAGCTTTACCCAGTGGCCAGGTAAGTTTCTACTGGACGAGTACAAAAAACGTTTTACATAAATGTTATAGGCACGCTTTAAAATTAAATACCCATTGCATTTTGAAGTTATTTATTACAGGCCCTTACAAGCTAATATCTTTTTAAAGTACGATACTTTGTAAAACACTGTGTAATTTGAAGCCCGAGTTCTCGGGATCCGTCCGCAATGTGTTAAGACCACAGCTAGAGTTTACTAGCTGATGCCACCCCTGATCCTAATGATCGAATAGCTTCACCTCTTGCTCCAAGTAAAAGCCAAGGTCCTATGCAGCCCCAGGCCCTCTCATTGACTCTGTCCCAGTCACACTAGGCTTCCTGTTGAGCACACCAAGCTGGCTCACTTGTCCCTCGCCTCCCCTGTCCCCGCCCAGATAACTTGCTTCCTTACCTCCATCATGTCTTTACTCAGCTCACCTAATGAAGCATCTTTGGCCACTCTATTTAAAATCGCAACCAGCCCTGACCGGTTTGGCTCAGTGGATGGAGCGTTGGTCTGCAGACTCAAGGGTCCCAGGTTTGATTCCGGTCAAGGGCATGTACCTTGGTTGGGGCACATCCCCAGTAGGGAGTGTGCAGGAGGCAGCTGATCGATGTTTCTCTCTCATCGATGTTTCTAACTCTCTATCCCTCTCCTTTCCTCTCTGTAAAAAATCAATACAAAATATATTTTAAAAATATAAAAAAATAAAATAAAATCGCAACCAATGAGTAGTAAAGTACAGCATAGAAACAGTCAATAAAATGTAATAACTATGTATGGTGTCAAATGGGTACTAGACTTACGGAGTGATCACCTCGTAAGGTATATAAATGCTTAATCACTATGCTGTACACCTAAAATTAATATAATATCAATTGTAATTGAAATTTTTAAAAAAAGGAACATTAATTTGAAAAAAAATTTTTTTTAATTTGTAACCATTGTCACACACTTCCTGTGCTTATTTCCTTCTGCTTACTACCACATAGTGTGGTATTTTATTTTGTCTGTCTCCCTGTCCTCCCTCCAGATGTAAGCTACAAAAGGGCACGACTTTTTATCTGTTTTGTTCACTGCTGTCTCCCCAGGGCCTAGACCAGCCGTGGGCAAACTACGGCCCGCGGCCGGATCCGGCCATTTGAAATGAATAAAACTAAAAAAAAAAGGCCGAACCCTTTTATGTAATGATGTTTAGTTTGAATTTATATTAGTTCACACAAACACTCCATCCATGCTTTTTTTCCGGCCCTCGGTCCATTTTAAGAACCCATTGTGGCCCTCGAGTCAAAAAGTTTGCCCACCCCTGGCCTAGACCATACCTGACATATATGGGGGCTAATCAGTACTTGTTGAATAAATTAATTCAATGAATAAAGTACTATCATCAAGATCCACCCACTTAATTTGGCCAAACTTTTATTATTACAAAAGAAAAATACTGTTCACTATAGAAAACTAAAATAAGAAAGCCACACATTATTCTACCACTTTGGTGCATATCCTTCCAGATGTTTTCCTCTAAGCCTTATACTGTACTTGCTACTTTTAACCCAATCCCTTCACTTAGTATATTGTATCTTTTTATGCCCGTTACTATTTGCCTAAAGCATCATGAATCACTGAGTGAAAATGGTGTTTTGATAGTTTTGAAAGCAGTCATTCTCACTCTGCATCAAGAATTCCCTTTCCCTTGGATGACTCTAGAACTAAAGTTTTCAAGTCATCCAACCTTCTGATCTCCTCGTAGCTCCTCTCCCTTCATGTTCTGTAGAGATCTCACTCAGCAAGTTATATACATATCAACATCAACATTCTAA